TCGATACACAGTTCAGTTCTCTCCTTTTGTGATTTCTGGCTTATAGCCACCAACACATCATGTTTTCAGTCTTGCCTTGACAATACGGAAGACAACAAACGACAATAGGCATCTCACATCATTCCAGGATTGTATCTTGAAACATCAAAGAATATTTTTTCTTTGAGGAGAGTATTTTACCGATTAAAGATGATTTGGTTCACCAACTTAGTTGTTGTAATTGTAAATTGGCTTTCGTTAAGAGTTTCCAAAGCCTCGTCAGAATGGCGCCAATTAGCTTGTAATTAGATGGATTTAGCAAGAGGACGGGAACGTCAGTTGACAACTGCGCGCGCAGCAAAAATACCGGCAAGAAACTGGGTCGAGAACGTCGCCCTGTTGTGTTTCAGAAGTAGTGACTTAGCAGTCGTTGCAAGGAGGCGTAAACGAAACATTTGTTCTTGAATAGCCTAAAGGCTGCCAACACAAAATTTTGGTTTAACAAACAGCTTTAAGGACAACGAAACAATCATCTTTGAGAGTTATGCAACAAGGTCAAACAGAGGATAAATTATAGCTACGGCAAGTTAGATTTTAATATATGAATCCAGGTGGGCGATTAAACTTTATAATTGATCCATTCCAGGTAAGACTCGTTCGTGTCTTTTGATTCATCTGTCAAATTTTAGAGCCCATCAGAAATTTTTTTCTGTGATTTGTGTTGCTGTCATTTCGTTTCGTGCCACTAGATTTTAGCACAGCTAATCTTTCTTCATAATTTTGCAAGGTTTAATTTGGAAATCGTGATCGTTTTTCCCATCGTTTACTACATAGTCATGATGGTACATCTCTTTGGAACATTGACTACTTAGAGATGCAATTCATTTTGAACGGGGTTACGGCGAAACCATGTAGAAGCAAAGCGACCCAAAAACGAAGCTGTTTACGATGAGTTCTTGTTTAAAGCTGAAAGAATGAATTGAACTCAAACAAGTCATCCATGAAACGGTTAGGCTTAGGAATAAGACTTTGTTTCTGTTTCTTTGTTTGCTTTGTTTTGTTTCTTCTTTTTTTTAACGAAGTCGTTCAAGACTGAATTAAATCACTTGATTTGAAAGTCGTGTCGAAATAAAATGGATTCACGGTCATTTTCTTTTGCTGAATGAGCACAGCTTTCTTGTTTTCATCAGCGCGGATTAAAAGAGTTTATGACATAGCAAAGTACAAACCCGAGCACTTGAAATTCCTAACTTATTTATCTCTGACTTTAATCCACAAAGCATGCCTTCATGATCGGTNGAAATTGTATACGTATTTTTAGAAACGTTTTCTACATGCTCTGCCTGAAACAGATTTTTGTACTCTAAACTTGATTGCTCGTTATGATTGGTATGTGCATTCCTCTACGAGTGTATTTGTACTTCTTTTCATCAATTTTTTTTACTCAAAAAACTTCATTGGGGTACCAGTGGAGCCTGTTTTGCCAAGGATCATAACTTCAGACTTTATGGGACGAATAAAAACTCTGTTCATTGAATTCCAA